TGCATATGTTGATTCACCTCAAAAACTATCAAGTGATCGTTATGCTGATGAAAATTCACAGTTATATTGCTCTTTGTACTTAGGTAATGCTTTTTATCACTTGTGTTTTGACCGAGATTATGGCAGTGCAATTAAATACAATCGGATATGTTCGATATACCAATTTGATCGCAAAACAGCATGTGACGTCATTACGCACAGGTTTTTATTCGCTTTAAAGCCGTTGAATGGAAGCACACTTTCACCAGCTTTATTCGCATGAGTTTTTTTACCGAACTTCAGATAATTCGATTGACAAGTGGATGGAAACTTGGCTAGTTTATACTCTGACAGTATTTCCTCATGTAAACTATGGCGATGGTTTTGATGACTGACTGAAAATGCACAAGGCGGCACTTTTTGTGTATGGCAAAGATTAATTTCAACAGTACAAATTTATAGCGTATATAAGATATTGATAGCAAGAGACTGGTCTGTTTCGCTTTTACTGTTTCACTGACAACAAATAACAGTAAGACGTATGTATCTGTATAATATACTGTATGCGTGTATCTGTATAAGTATATTTACTACTGTAAAATGTGAGTGGACTACTGTAACATAAAGCATTACAGCATTACAGTAAGTACACAGTATTACAGAAGAGTGCACATTGTTGGATTACATACCTGTTCTGTTCTGTCTACAGAACATTTGAATGATTGAGGACACGGTTGTTCTCTCAACATTTGGCTGCCCCGCTAGACCAGCCTCTGCCATTGAAACGCCATGATTGAGAACATGGTACACAATAGTGGCCTTTATTTTATCGGAAATGTGCCTACAGTACAGTATGTCATTGGCCTCTTCTAACTCTTCAACTGTTTTGACTCTCTACCCTTCCTCCAAGCATCCTTATACTCCTCTTCTTCTTCCCGGCTGTTGACCCTGTTCATTTCTCTGTTGCTCTTCTATTACCAGAATTTGTAACAGTGTTGTTCTCTGTCTACCGAAAGGTCATTAGATGCACCTCTGAAATGGTTTATCTAATGCTTTACATTCCCCTTTATTAGTTAAATTCAAGATTCATCTGTGCAGTTCATCAATTCAGGACACATTAAAACAAATCTAATAGAAATGTTTAGAAAATATGCTTGACAGATTATGACAACTAGTTCAACCATTTTGCATTTAATGACTTACGCAATTAACTAATGTCTAGATGTTTTGAGGGATAATACTATTCGACAGAGAACCAGTATAATGTATTATGATCAACATGACATAAGGAATTGATAATGTAGGAATCAGCAAACAATTGTACATAATCAATTGCATGAACGTACCAAAGCACTGGACGTTTGTTCAAAAGTTTTATACAAGTAGTTTTGAGAATTTCAACTGTGATCTGAGCAATGCAACCAAAGAGACTGAGAAAAACGGCATTGTGTTTTTGAACTTTAAATCATGTAAATATATTCAAGCAGACCCCCCCCCCCCACAAAAAAAAAAGAAAAAAGAAAAAAAGACAAAACAACAACAACAACAACAAAAAACAAACAAAACAAATTATGGTTTTAAATGAGCTAAATATATGCACTTTAAAGGGACACTTCACCCATTTGCATTAAGCTTTGTATCTTTAGAAACCCAGTCATATTTTTGAATGGTCATGGTTTATTCCCTTATTTTCCCCTGAGATGGGAGAAATAAGGATTTAAGTGTTCCACTTCCTGCTTTTTATGACGTAAAAATCGTCATTTTGCGTCATAAAAAGCAGGAAGTCCCATTTCTTTGTATAAGGGTTGAGACTACAAACACTAGCTCATCATTTATCCAGGGTGTGGGACCCACTCACGCTACAGACCTATGATTACAGATCAGTGGGTGGGACTTCACTTGCAGATACAGAAAGCAATATCAGCCATCTTGTTTGGAAGCTAAGCTAACAAGCGCTGTGGAGATAGGAAGTTACGACAATGACGGAAGAAACTAAACATGATATGGAAGAAGAGGATTTTGAAAATCTGCTGCTCGAATCCGATGTTCGTGGCTATCTTTACGAGCCGCAATATAGTGAAGAGCAGCTGTGGCTGATGGAGGGACAGGAGGCGGACGAGGATCCCGGACTGGCTCGAGCTGGGCGGACTGCTGGTGCCTGTGCTCTCGCTGTGCGCTACGGACACAGATAGAGTCCGTCTGCTGCAGAGAATTTCAACGATGGCAATTTCTCCTGGACGAAATCTCTGAATCAGACGACCACACGGACGTTTGTGTTGTGATGTGAACCATCCTAGTGTCGGACCGCATATGTTCTGACTGAACATCTAGGTAAAATGCAATAATTCACCATATAGAAAGAAATACAAACGAGGAGTAATTCGCTAATGAGTTTGCCAATGTAACGGGATTCGTTGTTGTGGGAAGAAGGAGGCGGGAACCGGCGAACATTTAAACATTTTAATAGTAAAATAAACAAATACAAAACAAAAGTATAAGCCAGCAGCCCCTCGCGGACGACTGCTGGCCACACACAACAGAAACAAAACACAACATAAAATCAGGCCTGTTCCTCTCTCGATCTGCCTTTTATGCTTCCGCTCCTCCGTGAGAGATGCGAGACCGGTGCGTCTCACAGGTGTCGTTCATTATCACTCACGCCACCGGCCTCGCGCCGTCCTCTCACGTCCCTCGCCCTCGTCCTGCTCGCCACAGCCAACTAACTAGAAATGTTGTGTGAAATGAATTTCTAACTCTGGTGGCAGCTAACATTAGCCTTGTAGACGAAAGAGTGATTTCTCTGATGTTTGCGCTGTTCTGGATTAGTGGGAGTGGCTTGCGGAGCTGTGCAATGTGGTGCATTGTGGGAGTTGTTGTCTTACATACAAATGCGCCCTAAAGTTATTTTCTGTCTTTTCTCGGTCAAGAGGGCACCAAATTCAAAAATTATTTTACATTTCGACTACATATATGACCCACTTTCAATAAAGATTAATGTTGAAATGGGTGAAGTGCTCCTTTTAATAATAGTTTAGAGTTTTGTTTGAGGCACATGGAAGTCAACTAGATATCCAAACTGTGTAACCATTTAATAATCAGTACCTTTATGATATTTAAACAAATGAAAATTTTGAGCACCAAATTTGCACTTGCAGTGTTAATTTTGTCAGCAAATTGGAAGGTGCAATCTATAATAAGACATTTGCACTGAAAAGAATGACAATGCCTTTAAAAAACGCATTGTGCAACGCAATTTCAGTACGTTTAGAGGTTCATTTAACTTGCTTGTGGATATTTTGTTAATGGCATTTTTTTTTCTTGTCCAGCAGTACTGTTGCGCAACTGTTTTTGTGTGAATTCATGTATGTGTAAGCAGGCTTTGCCTTCATGTGTGTTGTGATGTGACTTGGGATGCGCACACACACAAATACACCACGGCCAAACCCCGCGGCTATCCCTCTAGCCGGCCAGAGAGATGAAGCTCTTTTAGGGCAGCCTGGTTTCCCGACAACCTAACTGGCCTCTTTCTTTCTCTCCATCTCTCTCCTCTCTGCCCTCTTCACCCCCCCCTCCCCCCCCCCCTCCCCCCCCCCCCTCCCTCCTCCCTCCTCCCTCCTCCCTCCTCCCCCCTCCTCCCTCCTCTCTCTCTCTCTCTCTCTCTCTCTCTCTCTCTCTCTGGCTAGCGTAGCTGCGGTCTGGGTCCAATTAAAATGCACGGTGCTCTAAAGCTGAAGTTGGTCAGCAGTTGTGTCAGGAGACTTGGGCTCTGACTGATGATAGAATTATCAGGATGTGATAGACTACAGTTCCCTGGCCTGCATCAGAGCGGATGCTGCTCCCAATACAAACGTGCAGCGCTGCATCAGTGCTCTGTGGAGGGGCCATCACTCCTGGTGAAACGATTCAAAAATCCTTTGTGTGGTGTAAAAACGGTGTTGAAGAGAATAGAGAACATGTTAATGATCTCCAATTGGTCAATGTGTCCTGAAATACAGAAAACCAGAGGAATTCTATATCGGACTTGTCATCTCTACCAGCAAATTCAAAAAGGCCAAAAAGGCAAATCTATGGTAAAAACATTAATACAGTTTGAGGGAATCTATCAAATATTGACAAAAAACATAAATAATACACATATGATATTTAAATAGTGGCAAACATTGACATACAAGAAGATAGATAGATAGATAGATAGATAGATAGATAGATAGATAGATAGATAGATAGATAGATAGATAGATAGATAGATAGATAGATAGATAGATAGATAGATAGATAGATAGATAGATAGATAGATAGATAGATAGATACTGAAATAGAAAGCAATTTGGTGAAGGGGAGCTGCAAAGTTGAATTGAAAAGTACATTCTGTAGCAAATTGATAGTCTCTTTGCAATATCAGGGGGCAAACAGAATGCTTCTGATGAATAGCCAGACAAGCCAACTTCTAGTTGTGGTGAAACAAAATTTCCCCTCCGACTTTGTGGTTCGAAAAGCATCTATATGTCCTTCAACAATGTGAATGTGTGCAGAAATATGGACCATGAGCTGCAACCTAAAACTGTGTGCTCAGCCTTTGTGAAAACTCTACCCACACAACTTTTTATAGGAAAGGAGGGGTCCGGGGGAAAAATAAATAAATACGGGATTCAAGAGTACAAAGTGCCTTTCCATCCCAAACAGCTCCTTGTTTTCTCTGCCTAACCTTGAAATTGATGCTATTAAACCATGAGATGTTTCAGCAATTTCTTGAAAATGTCTGCCTTCATACAGTCACTTTATATTCCGTCTTTACATGAGATCATGAGCAACAAACCAGCAAGTTTTGAAAACCTTCCTACACAGGAGATTTATGATCAGATGTGCAGTGCGGAAAACATAGCATTATATTTTCTATGTACATACAGTACTGCATTTGCCAATGATAATGTTTATCACTAGACTCCAGATAAGTGACTTCTCTGATAGCGCCTGACTGGTGAGAGTATAGGAATACATTTTTAAGAAAGGATCATGTGTACCTCCGAAGTCTGGCCGGAGACGGATGTCATACCCCTTCAGCAATTTGTCCACTGTCGTCTTGGCCACAGATATTCCGGTATTTCCGGTGGAGGTGCTGCAAGAGAGAGAATTGAGAGCGCTTTTTGTCAAAATGTATCTAAACCAAATATACAGCTTATAGCAATTTTGTTGATTTATATGATGTAATTGAATCATATATCCTTGATTGTTTTATAGCAATGCATTTTGTTTTCATTCAGACAGACTGAGAATGTTTGGGGTAGTTGCCAATCCGAAGAGGCTTATCTTTAGATCAATATAACCACCACATAATCATTAACATAAATCTATGTGATTGAATAATTTATTGTTTTACAGAGCATAAAGTGTTACTGAAAGCGAAATTGGATCTTAAACAGAAACATCTAATAATGACTGTGCACGAATGTGTCCTGTTGCTGAAACTATAACAAAAACACTCAAACATCATACTGTCATATGGGGGTGGTCAGTTCAACATGTAACTTTGACAACTGGCATGACTGGTTCAAACATGCAGTCTTGAGCCAGGTTTTTTTAACTCGGGGTCCTGGGGCCCCTGAGGCTCTGTCAACAGATGGGAAGTTGACGCATAACATATTCCTTTTTTTAATCAATATCAAGATTTTAGGGTAAAATGTATATGAATGTTTAAAAGACATTAAAATTTAGGTTCACATTTTTACAATTTGGGCTTCACTATGTCATTGTAGATAATGCTGTGGTATGACAGACACATTTTGAAAAGAGCGAATATTCCACAAAGTCTCAACTAATATGAGGTCATTAAGGCTGTATACGCATAATAATTTATAAATAAAATAGTTTTCGGTGTAGTATAACGTTACACGTAATGGAAAAATATGTAGTAACCTTTAAAAATAGAAGAAGAGAAAATGTATCTACATATTATGAATTGTTGTCTCAATGTGTGTAATGATGTTTGATAATGTTAATAGTATTCATGAAAATTAATATACATTGAAAGTGTTGGGAGTCCCTGGTTGAACTTGTAGGTGGGGGTTCCTGGGTCTATAAAAGTTTCAAAACCCCTGTTTACAGGCATATGTAAGTGTTTGATAACTACTAATTTGCACATGAAAATGCATATGTGGCTTCAAACTAATGCATTTGAAAATTCCATACCTCAGCCATGCACACTGCACTTGAAATGAAAATAGTAAAACGTCACAATGGAAGGCATTAGGTTTTAGGCCACCACTGTTGATTTCAGTTCGATTTAGAGAAAATCATAATAATCACGACATGCGATGAGTAAAGAGAGCAGTGTTTAACATATAATAAGGCTTGTCATTTGTCTTACAGGTGTTCCGCATGTAGTATGAGATGGAGAAAAGATATATGCGTCTTCGGCCTCAGAGGCTTCAAACCCACGTCGCATCTCAATGATCACCAGCGAACACATGCCATTAACCACTATTGACTAATAGGCGTCGTCGTTTTTATTCTTATTGGCTGAGTGATGATATATCTCTTCTAACGCCAGTGACATGGTGGTATGGGTGGGGGTGGATCAGAAGAAAAGCACTGATCATTTGTAAATGTTTATTTCACTCAGTGGATCACTGCATAGAAATATATAGTGTTACAGATGAAACCGAATGTTGCTACAACTATTTGCTAAAACGCGATTCAAAACACAGCTCTGTCATGCCCTGATTTTAATTGATGCCAGAATACTGAGATATGTCACTGTTAAATCACTGGGACAAGTGGATGGAGAATGCAGTATGAGTATTTAGCAATATATATATATATATATATATATATATATATATATATATATATATATATATATAAATTCAATATATTCAATTAGTTAATAATTAAATCATTTACTGTTTAACTGGACAGGGAAATTAATTATTTTTTGTTTGTATTGTTCAAATGAGAAAAATATGTAATCGACAATCAAAATACATAACATAGGCTATTCTAAAGAAAAATTGTTAGTTTTCAATAATAGGCCTATTTGCGCTGCATAATTTAAATAACCATGTTTCTCACACATAGCCTATATATGAATCTCTCTCTCTCTCTCTCTCTCTCTCTCTCTCTCTCTCTCTCTCTCTCTCTCTCTCTCTCTCTCTCTCTCTCTCTCTCTCTATTAGACACTGCACACACACAATTCGACAGTTTATTCAGGTAAATGGGAAATTAAACATTATGTACGCTATATCCATATTAGTGAATCATGTGTGTCTGTTGGGATTTGACCAAAAAGTGGGCTCATTTATCCAGTCCAATAGTCATCATTTCCAATATTTATCATTTTCTTACCTTTGTACAAAGCAGACAAAGGACAAAGCCGCCAGAGCAGAAACAATTCCACATAATTTGTCTTCTTGAGGACCCAACATTTCCACAAATCCGTTAATTCAGTTTCAGTAATCCAACCGCCTGTGCTCCAAACTGATGTAAAACAAACAAACAAACAAAAAAGCAAAGCAAAGCAAAACAAAAACAAACAAACAAATAACCCCCCCAAAAAAATAATAATCCAAAAGAATCCAACAGAAGGGGATGGGAGGGAAAAAAACGCCAAATGAATGAAAGAGATCAAAGCACCAATGCACACATGTGTGATGGCCCCGAAAAATAAAATAAAAAAATAAAAATAAAAAAATAAAAAAATAAATAAAATATTGAATGGGTCCCAGTTGTTGTTTTTTTCTTCAGCTATGGAAATCCGTGCAGGTCAGAGACCCCCTCGATCAAAACCAGAAGATCAGACATCTCTCTCAGCTTCGACTGGACTTCTGGGAAAGTGCTGGAAAGTCTTCTTCAACCAAAACATGGAGAAAAAATAAATAAAGATAAGATGATGAAAATAAAAAAAATAAAAAAATGGAAGAGAATCAATCTTCTTCTACACCTGTCGTCGCAATTTCCAGGTCCAAAGCTGTGGGCAAGCCATGGCTCCAGAGATGCTCCTTCAAAGAGGGGGGTGCTCCACAGTAAGTGATATTTTTATTTATTTCCCCCCTCAGCTATAAAGGTTGGAGGCGAAGAAAAAAAAATCTGCATCCCCTACTGCTGATGGTCGAGATATTCCTCTCAAAGTCACTGGGGAGAAAAGATGCACATTTAAAGAAATGCAGCAGAGAATATCTGATGCAGACGTCAGAGCTTGTAGTCCATAGTACAACCTTATATGAAGCAGAAGCAGGGTGAAAAAAACGTATGTATCTCAATAAAACGCTTGCAAATGTCCAAGCTTTGTCTAGCCTAATGGAAAACCCCCCTTATCTCTCGATTGAATCCCCGAGCATGTTCCTGCTCTTGTTCAGAGCAAATGATGACACACTTCAATTGCAATAACACCTCCAGGAATCGTAAAAAATAATCAAGACTGGAACAGAAATCTCCGTCGCACACGCTTGGATTTTAAAAGAAGAGTAAAAGACATGGTCCCTCTTTGAATGTGCTGAATAAAATGCCGGTGTTTGTTGAAAAAATAAAAGCGAAAGCGAACTAAAGAGGAAAGGCAGTCTGTCCACGCGCTTGTCTCGCGGAGGAATGATGTCTGTACTTGTCGGCTCGCGCGCTGCAACCTATTAAAATGCTGCGAGAGTATCCCGGCGCATTTTCATGCATTTCTTCCACATTCTTCAGCTCAACACACCCTCAAAAACACAAACACAAACTCAGAAACGGCAAAAAAAAAGTAAATAATGACGGACAAATACGATTTTGAAATCAGTGCCACTTTTTTGCACACGCCAACATGCAGGTTGCGATGTTATATCAAGATAAGGAACAAATTAAATTATAAATATAATTTTGCATATTGCACAAATATATAAGTGGTGTGATTTTTCCCATGTATTTTTACTCAGTAGAAGAGGGATGCAGGCATCTGCTGCTGTCTAGTTGCTAGGCAACCATGCTAGCGGTGATGCAGAGCAGTGGTGTTTCGGTGGCACATTTAAAGGAGCTTCTCTGTTGTATCTTCTGGACAGGAGGGCCCCAATGGTGATGTGGGCATCCTCATCCCCCATTTAGCGCTTTGACAGTCCCCGCTGAAATGTGAGGAACATTGATGTGAAGGGCAGAGACGGACGGCACGTCAGCACTATCTGGAGCAGTTCAGCTGTGCATTACAAGATTAGCTTAATGAGGCATTACAAGCCATATCAGAAACACCCTCTGACTTTACATCATATGTGTACTGGGTGTAATGTGGAGTGGATTCAGATGTGTGCTTGGCAGTGGTCAAGGCAGTGACTTGGGTATATGGTATCCTAATGAACTGTCTTTTCTGAGAATATTAAAACCTTACTAGTGCTCTTCCGTGTATCACAATAAATATAAATCCAACTAAGTTTATACTGCTTGTTTGACAGCTCATTATTGTCTTTGAAAGAAAGCTCCATCAGATGCACATTTGCTGAGGGCTATGACTGAAGAGTAAGTTTAGGACCATGGACAGTACCATGTTTGCTCAGCTGAGGAAGTGTGGCTTCAGGACCACGGACAAGGTCCTATGTAGCAATTTGACAGTACATGCAGCACTACAACACGGAATTGTTATTTAAATAACACGTATATGATACTTGATTCCTCATTACAGCAGAACATCATAATACTGTAGCTAAAAACTGAAAGTTAAATCTGGTTTGTTTTCATTTTGGAACAGTCCCCAGTGATCATGTAGAACAAGTAAAAGACTAAAACATATGTGCGACCTGTTCTGGACACCTTTTACAAGCTTCTTTTGTCTGTTAAAACTAGTTTTCTGCTTATGTTCCATGTCATTCACTTGGGCTGTCCATTGTTGTTGTGCTTAATGTTCTGGAGAACTTTTAATCAAATCAAGCACAATAATACAGAACTCACACGAATAACCAAGGGCAGCATAAGACAAGACATTACCTAATCAAGCTAATCAAGAGAAACTGAAACAGGTGCGTAACATGAAACCAAGAAAACTAAACTAGTGAAAACAGATGGGCCGACAGATAGGGCAAACCAAACTAAACCAAACTAAATGAACAAAAACCTGACAAACTGTTTCATTTAGTCATTTCCTATTTGATTTTATTATTTATTTATTAGCTTACTCTAATGCTATTTCACCTCTTATTTCAACTGAATTAATAATAATAATAATTCATTACATTTATATAGCGATTTTCTCAGCACTCAAAGTGCTTTACATAGAAGGGGGGAATCTCCTCAACCACCACCAATGTGCAGCATCCACCTGGATGATGCGACGGCAGCCATATTGTGCCAGAACGCCCAACACACACCAGCTCACTGGTGTAGAGGAGACAGAGTGATGAAGCCAATCAGTATATATGGGGATGATTAGGAGGCCATGATGGATTGGGGCCAATGGGCAAATTTGGCCAGGATGCCTGGGTTAAACCTCTACTCTTTTTTAATGACTCCTAGATTTTTAATGACCACAGAGAGTCAGGACCTCGGTTTGGACTGTTGCTGCAATATATCAACGAGTCCGTCATATTGGTCCGACAAAAAACACAATAACGCTTACATTTCTCAACCGATTTTAACGGTTTATCACCTGCGTGGAGTACAAAAGAAGTTCTGTCTCAAATTACTCCGAATCAAATTCAAATGTAGTACCTACTCAGACAGCACACGATTTCGGACGCACTGTAGAACTTTCCTCTCCTGCATCCTATCCTTCTGCAATCCAGAATGTCTGCACAGCTAAAAGGTTTGTTTGCCCTGTGCCCTCTACTGTACAGGACTGAATGTGTATTTCCTTCTGTCCGAGGCATATTAATTTCACTTTTAGTGTGAAAGGACCTTTATATTTGCCAAAATGAAAACCTTTTATTTTGTTTTTATTATGAACCAAACAAGCAAACCCAGCTCAGGTGAGAAAAAGTTACGCAAAAGTTACGTAAGTAGCATTACTAGTTACTTTGGTAACACTTTACCTAAAGCCTTTTATGTATAATGCATTATAAAAGTATTTTTCATACTTGAATTATGCACCTTATAATGCATTATATAGTCTCATGGATACCTGTAACTACAGGTATAATACATTATAATACTTATCTAATAATTGAATACACCTTTAGAAAGTATAATACACGTGATAAACAACTAATTTCAGAATCTGCAAATATTATAATGCATTATAATGTACATTATGAATACCTTTTATAATGCATCATAGATAAGGGCTTTAAGTAAAGTGTTACCGTTACTTTTTAGGGAGTCACACAATATTGTAACACATTACTTTTAAAAGTAACTTTAAAAGTTTTTTTTTATTTTTTTATTTAATGAAAACTAACTGCATCAGGAAAATGAATTCACTGACAACTAACTTATAGTTGTCTCTTGATTTTAAACTGAGATATAGGAACACATATTCTAACATAAAATGCTTTAAATGAGCACACATTAAATTAGCAGATTATGAAATTCTAAATTATGGCAATTACAATGTGATAATGCCATCAAAATGGTCATTTTAGGTATCATCACCCAAATGCACATGTGTTTCATGATGAATATGCATTAGTCAGTCTCTGCATTTGAAAGTTAAGGAGCAAATTTATCTTATGATTAGCTAATGGCATGTTTGTGCAAGTAAAGTCCTGCTTTTCCCATAGACCCAAGGGTCAAATGAGCCTACTCTAGTATAGGTGCTTTCTCTGGTAAAATGGTGCAAAACTTGACAGACCTCTTTCAAGTGAATGTAGAGAGTAAGAAGGTCATTGAGACAAATTTCCTAGTTACTTCTAAGCTTCACCCTCTATCCAACCTCGAGTTGGATGCAAGACATCTTTGTAGTCATCTCATTAAAGTAAGGTACTTTAGAGAGAGCTCCAGGCTGTCCGAACGCCATTAGATGCTTTAATGAATTAGAATGACAGCTATGATATTAAAGACCACTGGGATAATGACAATGGAAATGACAGTGCTCCTTTGACACCACTGTATGCGTAGTTATTTGAATCTAAATTGCTCTACAGTCAAGCAATAGAAGAAACATGGCTGCAGGCACAAGAGACCAGATTTTCTGATGGCTTCTTTTTTATTTGTAAATGCAACTGAAATCAGTTTCAGCAGACTGATGATCATCATCCCCATCATCATCTTCTCCAAATTCTTCAGCAGCATAAAGTATATAGTGTAGTTTTCTTCCCCTTTAAACGCTTTTATGTCACAGAGATTGTTAAAAAAAAAAAAAAAAAAAAAAAAATTTGTCATATATTTCACATTTTTTGGTTACACTCGATTCCAATGGTCCTCTTTAGACATTCTAAGGGTTAGTTCAACCCAAAAATGAAATTTCTGTCATTAAATACTCACCCTCATGTCGTTCTGAAACATAAGGCCATTCATTTACAAGAGAACACTGTTCAAAAGTGCATTTTTAAATAGTTTATCTAAAAAAAATGTAAATTACATTTCCACTACAGAATACTATATCAAGCATATTACATAATTTTAGATGTTGTCCACGCATTTCATAAATAAAAAAAAGGACAAAATTATCCTGTGGTGTGTGTATACCAGTTGTTGGCC